CAATACCGTCGAGGTCACCGCAGTAGCACTCCTCGCCGTACTCCATCCCGGCGGCCATGTAACCGAAGGCTTGGCACCGGCTCAGACACCACTCTGGTGAGTTACCAGTCTGGTTCAACAACTTGTGCGGGAATACCTGGTTGCCGATGTCGGTGATGCATCCTTGGTATTGCCAGTCGCTCACGTTCTGGGTGGGTGTTGGGACTTTGACGACCTTCAATGGATCTTGGCTTGAGTAGATGCTCATTCGGTTGGGGCCACCACACGTCTCGGCTTGGTTACCAGCACACTTGGTGTTGCACTCCGACTCGGAAGAAGCAGGCTTGCCGCCCATTCGCACCTACATGGGTTAGTACTAGAAGACATTGGAGATTTGGAATATACTAACAGCATTGTCGCAGAAGCATTGGTAACTGTACTCCATGGCTGCAATCTCATAGCCAGCTTTCGCGCATATACTGGTGCATGACGCAACGGTCATCTTCTGATCATCGGGTTGTTGGTAGTTGACGATACGGAATCCAGGTCCATCGACATAGCAGCCTTTGTACTCAAAGCCTTCCGGGAGCCCAGTAGCAATGGGTGCTGCGCTGGATGCTCCAGTAGCAGATGCTGTTGCAGAAGCGGTAGGCGTAGCAGTGGCTGAGGTGGAGGATTCACCACCTGTGTAGAAACGGAAGAATGTCAAGCGATCGGGACCGCCGCACATCTCTGTCTGGTTACCATTGCAAGCCATGTTGCACCCCTTCTCGCCGTCAGGCGCAGGACCGCCATTGGCTCGAATCTGGTTGTCACAGAAACACTCGCCGGCATACTCAGTACCAGCCAGGACGAAGCCTCCAGCTCGGCATGCAGCCTTGCACTTGTCGTTGGTCATACCACCGGTCACTCCCATTCCCACAGAGAGCGACCGGCCACCGACATTGTCCGTGTAACATCCTTCCGAATACCATCCTCTCTTCGGTTCCGGAGTTGTGGTATTGCTAGGGAGTTCGGGCGCCGCTGAACTCTGCGCGCTAGCGGAGCAAACCAGGGACAGTACCAGGAGATGCAGGCTAAATGGCAGCCGCCGCAGGGCATAAAGTTGCGCCATGTGTGGCGCAATGGGAAAGTGTCAAACGAGCGACAAAAGTATATTGAATCAACAAAGTTTCCGAGTGCAAGAAAGGAGCACCGGCTGTTTAACAACACCCTGGGTATCGTATTTGCATCCCAGGCAAGACCATGTATATAAGCGTCTAGTATTCCTAACACCTCGACCGCCTCCCAGCCCCATGCCCTAACCGCGCCTGATCACACCGACGCCCACATCGCAGCCGCATTGTCTTCCAAGTCCGGTAGGTACATTGGCGACAGCCGGGGCTGCATGCGTACGGCGCCTCTTTGTCTGCACGTGTCAGCACGCGAGCTGCAACATTTCAATAGTCGACATTGTAGACATTGCGGCTGACAGGCAAGAAAAAAAAACAGGTCCAACATACGGCACCGCTATCAAGTTAGTCCTCGCTTAGGCAGGTGTCCCGCTGCTTGGTATTACCGGATAAGTAAAGGCTCTTATCACGACCCAATCAGCACACGCATCCCACACGCAGCGTTAATCTATTTCCTCAGCAATTCTCCTATTGAATTTCGTTTAAATCGGGCGCCCATGCTTGCTGGCGGCCTTGCGAACTAGTCTGTGCGAGAAAACGAGGAAAGGAGGGTCTAACAGCCATGTCGCCCGTTGCACATGGCCTGTCGTTGGCCGACCGTGTCGCTGGGCAGAGAGCACATGGCGCGCCTAACCCAGCAGGACGATACGGAGAGAGGTCCGTAGCCCTACACACACCCCGATCCTAGCCTCACGATGCAGCGATGTGCGATACGAGCCCGGGGATGAGTGCGCCGCTAAGAATAGTGCTCCGTACATGACACCAAGCTGCTTTGCCGCTCTTATGCCGCGCCTACACTACAACACCGTATCAGCAGCGTGTTCTTGTCTAGCTGCAGCAACCTCGCACAATGGCCTTGTTACATCGTCGACGTTGTTATACGTGGTCTTGTACCCTGGCAGAACGTATTCGCCAGCCAATGCGACAGTATTGCTCGTCAAGCTACGGTACTACTCTCTAGTCTGCGCAATGCCACAAGAAACTGCCAAGCTCAATCACCACGATATCCGCCCCCAAGCTTCCCGTTCGTAAGATGAAGCAACTCCAAAGTGGGCGCCCCATGGCTGATCGACCCCGGGCCGTGTGGGGAACCCAAGAAAAATCCTGCGAACAAGATATGCTGCCGTCGCCCGAGCCTAGCCATATTCTCACCTTGTTAGTTCACGTTTTTACACCGGTGTGGTGTAGGTTCGACGGCAGTCTGGCCCAAGTGTTTAGTGGAGACTGGGTGAAGTGGAGATTTCGAACAACGACATGTGAAGTGTGCACTTGCTGCTTCCTGTCGCCCTGCAAGCCACCATGTACCTAGTTGTCAGCCTTGTGGTGGGATGCGTGGCATGTGATGGGCAGGAGCTGAGTCATGCGCGCTTGCATGTCACTCATAAGGCGGTGTTGGTATGAGTGGGGTGTTGCTTCTATCGCGGCCTAAGCTGCGAAGAGGAGGTGGGATGTATGCAACATGTCCACTTTGATGTATTGGCATTTCGTATCTGCAGACATGTAATCGGAGCGGGATGAAGCGATAGTTGGTGGTAGGGCCGAAGCAACTCGAAAGCAGAATAGCTTACAGACTCAGATACTTATGTCCCTTTGGGCTGACATGGACGCAGTAGTAGATGGATGCAGTGCGAGCATGTCCGATAGTCCTCATTGGAGAAGTGTCGCTGACTGCAGAGAATCGATACATTTGCGGCTGTACCCTTGGCATATATCAAAGTCTGTAGATCTGGATTAGGAAACTTGCGATTCTGAGAGTGTAGACAGGATTGGTGGACTGGTGTATCGACAGCTGAAGCAACTGAAAGTTCGTGCGAGCTGGCTGTGCTATCGCTCGTTATTGGTGTCTTGGTGTAGACGAGATATTGGCTGACTTCTGCGGCGCCATTGTAGTGTATTGGATGCCCACCTCAGGTGGACTTCGCTGGCAAGCCGAGGGTAAAGGATTCGCAAACTTCGTCCTTCGCCACAAAGTACTTTCTCCTCGCCGACCTTGATACTCGGTTACTGCAGCCGAATATGTTGTAGCGCATTGGTGTGACGATGTACCTCTAGCTGAAGGCTGTGCAAGAGATGAGGGGCAGATGCGAAGGTAGACTAGAGTAGCCAGTACTAGCCTGGAAGTACCGCATCTAGGCGTAGCAGTCAGCTGCCATAGACTAAGATTCAGTCATGGATATAGTCTAACTTGCAATTCAACTACAAGCAGTAATGACCATAGAAGGCGCATCCTGAACGATGCCGTCAAGCGTAGCCACTTCCCATGCTGCGCAGCGACTAGCCCCGATGCGGTTAGTGACCGCGGGGTAAATGCTCAGGTCCGCAGTCCAGGGTCCTTCAGCTGCCCAGCCTTGGAGCAGATCATCTTGCACGACTGAAGCCAAGAGAGAAAGCCCAGATCGCGCTCAATCAGCCGCAGATCTCATGGCTTCGCTACCACCTGTACGCGCCTGCATCTTCGATGTAGACGGCACGCTCATCAACTCAGAAGACATCTACACAGATATCTACAACAACATACTGCGCGAGTACGGAAGACCAGATTACCCATGGGCAATCAAGGCGACGCAGCAAAGCAGAGGCACAAAGGTCTGTGTTGCTCAGCCCTATCATATCGACCCGGCATGCTAATGCTTAGTACAGGGTACCAAGCGTTTACTAGACTGGGCACAGGTACCCCTCTCGCCAGCTGAATGGTCTGCGGAAGAAAAAGGGTTTACACATCTCTTCGGAAACAGTAAGGTGCTTCCAGGTGTTGAAACTCTTCTCTCGACCTTGAAAGCAAAGACATCACCGCCTGTGCTGCTTTCGTTAGCTAGTTCAGCTGGTCAGCAAAAGTTCGCACTAAAGACGTCGCACATACCCGCTATCAATGCGGCGTTTGATGATCCGGCCTTCCACGTCTTTGGAGATGATCCGGAGATGTCTGATAGCAAGAAGAAGCCAGAGCCTGATATTTTTCTACTCGCTTTGAAGAGGTTGAAAGCCGCTGAGACAGCACGTGGTGAGCGTACTCTGGAGCCTGCAGAGTGCTTAGTGTTTGAGGACTCAATAGCAGGTGTGGAGGCAGCGAGAAGGGTGGGCATGCGTGTTGTCTGGGTGCCACATCCAGGGCTTGCGGAGGTTTGTAAAGGGCGGGAGATGGATGTTCTCATGGGAAGGACGGAGGAAGATGGCATCGTGCCTGAGTATGGAGAGCCAGTGGAGGGAGATGCGAAGAGTCCTACTGTTACGGAAGACGGCCGGTTGGTGTCGGACGACGGGATGGCGGAGCTGAGGTTGAGTCTCGATGATTTTCCGTGTGCAGCGTATGGTATCGATCTCGCGAATTGAGTGTGGGCTGGATCTATACAGCCCCGAAGGTCAATGTTATACGCTGCAGGGAGCGGTCAATGCAAACTACACGGTACTATTTGTCACTTGCACCAAAGCTGCCATGTCTAAAGTAATTGCTTCTTCTCGATGCTGTCGTTCAGACATACCTTCCATCCAGGACTCGTAATATGAAATTTTGTACCATTGACAGCGCTTTCGACATGAACCGCACGCCTGGGTGGGTTGAGACTGGTTCTGGCCGTCTAAGTTGATGAGACTCGGGTCAGAGGGGGGCCGAGATTGTAAGGGGTCTGCTTAGTCAGCAGAAAGGCTGGTAGCGCCGCTAGATGACGCGTTGACGGCCGAAACACGCGTGGCTGCCATTTGCCATCACCAGACCTCATCAACGCACGCCTGGGCATACACGCTGTCATCATATAATCATAATTCATTACGACATAAAGCTTCTGTGCATCACAGTATCGCAGGGCCATGTATGCGTACAGACCGGCGCGTGGTGGTGCGGCAAAACACCCATCAGAGTGGCAGTTCTTCTTCCTCTTCTTCTTCTTCTTCCTGCGCACCGACCCCGGTGTTACCGACAACCTCATCAACCCTCGCGCGACCCGATTGCAAGCTCTTGACGCCAGCGGCATCTCTCGCGAGTTTATCCATCGCGGCTTTCAACTCGTCTGGGCAGAAGAGCTTGCACAGCGTAGTCATATCGTCGTACACGACCTCGCGTTGCTGAGATCCTGGAATGTAGATCGTGTTGCCAATGTTGAATGTTAACGAGTATAGCAGGTTGCGCGCATCCCAGTCCTCGACAGGTTCAGATACCGGGAAGTTGCGCTTGTAGGCCCGGATATATGCCTTACTGCTCAAACGATGACGCGGCGCTCTCCAATTACCAGTGTCGTATTCGTTGTGCCCGTAGAAAGAGCAGACATCGAACACGAAAGCCTCGCCCGTTTTAGCGTCCATCGCGGTGTTGCCATCCCAACAATCACCATGGATGAGACACGGTTTTAGCACACGACCTTCTGCTTGGAGCGGCAACAAAAGACGGGGCACAACCTTCTGGAGCGTCAGATCGCACACCACGTCGAACTCAGGCCAATTGAGGATTGGCTTAGCCAGCTCCATGACGTGGCCTAGATGTCGGCCATACAGCGTGCACCAAGAGTCTTCCCATGTATCGACAGCCTGAGCGATTCGGGCATGGCATGTCGAGAAATGGAACCCGAATTTGCCAGTTGGTGAGACGGACCGTTGATGCATGTCAGCGAGTCCCGCAGCCAGCTTGACCGGATCTGCGGGCTTTCAAGATTAGTATCAGGGTCTCCGAAACCAGACTGAAGCACGCTTACCTGTTCACCAACATCTCGAAAAGCCGCAAGTAAGAAACACGTCTCGTCTGCACCTTCGAGCTTGCCCCAGGCATATGGCTGGGGGACGAACGAGGGCGAGATGGCATAGATGGCTTTGAGCGACTCATATTCGCCTTCGCACATGTGCCTTCCTATCTTTCCGAGAGTTACAACCTCTGGGGCGTCAGTTCCGGAATTTCTCATAAGGTTCCACAATCAGCCGAACCTTCAGAAAGTAGTTGTCATTCTCCCCCGTTGGAAGTCGGACCACGAGCTTGGCCGTCTTACCCCACAGCGATTCACCGTAGTTGTATGCATCTGTTACCTGAGTTCCAGGAATGGGGAATGCTGGCCTAAGGTAAGTGCCGGACATGAACGGCTATTGCGACATTACCTGCGACAACCCGTTCATCAACTTTGTACGAGCCGCTGGCCTGCGGTGGCAGGAATGGTTCAGTTGGCGTCTCTTCCAAGTTCGCTTGCGCCTTGCCTATGGCAATCTTGCCTATGGTGTGGACGTCTTCTGTCGCAGTCGTACCCATGATGTCTTAGCGTCTGGTGTTGATGAGAGAAGGCTTCTAGTGAGCGTAGGCCGAGCCTCCCTCGATAAGCACGGGCCGCCGCAGCGGACGATGTCGTCAGTGGAGGGCGCTGTGTTCCTTCGCCCAATAGCCGCTGGATGATGATTGGCCGGAATGTCGCAACCCGCGTGGGCTTATATTGGTGGGCGCAAAGATAGCCAATAGGTGAGGGGGTTGCTGGACGACTGTACTCGATCACACTCACAAAAGAAGCATGCATATGCGGCACGGCAGAGAGGCTGACACACGAGCTGATGGTACCCCGCACCACAGGGCAAGCTACTTTCCCGTCCTTGCAACCTTGGGAAGCAGCGCGGAGGCCTGACTAATTAGCCTCTCAAATCCTTTGACGTACCTCAATTTCACAGCCTTGGATGCGATGGCGAAGTCATTAGAACCATCCTTCAAGGCTATCGTCCATGCTGCACATGCCTTCGTGGCTGAGTGACAGATGTTAATCTTCGATGGCATCGAGGCCGAGTGTAGTAAGCATATCTGATCTCAGCCTCGTGCATGATAGCTAAATTGACGAAGCTTCATAGGCTCCGATTGCGATCAGAGCCGACACCCGAAAGCGATGACAACGACACCCTAGACACCGAGTCGACCTTTCACCGGACAGAGCTTCGATCTACCGACAGCGGACAAGATACCTCTGTAGCCTCCGCAAGGTTCAAGGCCAGCGCGCCCTATAGAAGCGGCTCGTTGATTTCGACCACAAGCACGCTCAATGCGGGCGTCCTCGGCAGACCGATAGCCCATAGCCAGCGATCCCGCGACGATTTGGGCCTACATCTCGTGACCGATCGACTTGAACCAAGCGGCGATATAGTCTTCGTGCACGGCTTGGGAGGTCACCCGTGGACCACATGGAGCTGGGAGCGCGATCTCAACAACTTCTGGCCTAGCTGGCTTGAACATGAAGGAGCATTGTCAACATGGAGGGTCTTCACGTTTGGTTACGATTCAAATTGGAGAGGAGCAGGAGCTAATCTGAACATCTCCGATTTTGCGAAAGACCTTCTGCTTCAAATCCTGACCTTCCAAAGCTCGAACGGGAGTGCTATCAGGCCCAAAAAGATCATCTTTATTGCCCACTCGATGGGTGGCTTAGTGGTCAAGAAGGCATATCTGCTGGGCATACAGGATTCGCAATTCGCCGACATCGCGGCTTCGTTTCACGGCATCATCTTCCTCGCAACTCCCCACCGCGGGGCGCAGTCGGCCTCCACCTTGAACAATATCCTTGCAAGCCTTCCTTTGGGCCCACCATCGAAAAGCTATGTCGCCGAGCTTCAATTACACAGCAATGCTCTTCACGAGATCAATGAGCAGTTCCGTCACCACTGTCACGATCTTGCCTTAATGTCATACTTTGAAACAGAGAAGACCAGCATTGGCCTCAAAGATGCGATGGTAGTCGCCCTTCCTTCTTCATGCTGTGATCCTGGACTAACGCCCACAGATCGTGGAGAAAGATTCGGCTGTCCTTCAGTTACCGGGAGAAATGTCAGGCTCACTTCGCGCAAACCACCACACCATATGCAAGTTCAAGAGCCCTACAGACACTCAGTACGTAAGAGTGAGAAACACAATCAGCCATTTTGCTAGAGAGGCTTCACCAGCTGAAGGTATGACTCATTACGTTGCATCTTTGCAAGAGCCAGAAGTGCTGATCTTTGGACAGCGCCTGCTGTCGATGTCATCGATCGCGTCGAAGATAGTCAAAAGATCGCCGCAATTCTGGGTGTCCACGAAGATGCTGAGGACGATCTCAAATCCAGACACGGCAGGATTATGGACGGGACCGGCCAATGGCTCCTACAAAAGTCGGACTTCACACGTTGGAAAAGCTCAGTGGGTGATCGAGCTGCTCCGGTCTTCTGGCTATTCGGGCTACCCGCGAGTGGCAAGACGGCTCTTTCCAGTATGGTGGCACATCACTTGAAGGACCAACAGGCGAGCTGTCAGTATCATTTCTTCTCGACAGGACACCAGACAAAACGAACTGCCGCATACTGTCTTCGTAGCATCGCTTCACAGCTTGCCCAAAACAGCCAATCGTTCCGAGAAGCCTTGTTCTCTTTCCATGCCGAGACTGGCATCAAGTTCACTTCACAAGATCAAAACTTTCGTACGATATGGGAGAAGATCTTCGAAGGCATCATCTTCAAGATTGCATTCACACAGCCACTATTTTGGATAATCGACGGAATAGACGAGGCCGATTCGCACTCACTGGTCATCAACTCTCTCCTGAAAATACAGTCGACTACTACTATCAAGGTATTCTTGAGTAGCAGGCCCATGAAGGTACCAACCGCAACTAAGGGCGAAGGATCTCCGGTCACCGTACGCTTCTTATCAGAAACTGATACAGCGAGAGACATACGAGCATATGTGGCCACTTCCATCCGCGACATCTTGACAGCTGCTGAGACTGTTCAACAAGATATCGTTGACAAGATCCTGGCAAAAGCTTCCGGGTCGTTTCTCTGGGTCCGTCTTTGCTTGAAGTCCCTCCGCCAAAGCTGTCATACCCGAGATGATATCGATAAAGCCTTGACTGGACTACCAGCGGGCATGGTGGGTCTTTACGAACAAATGCTAGCCAAGCTTCTTTCGCAGCCTGAAAGGACTCAAAGCCTCGCACACATGATACTATCATGGGTTAGCTGCAGTTGGCGCCCCTTAAGACTAGAGGAGTTACAGCTTGCTCTCGAACCAACATTCACCGGCTTTCTGAATCTTGAAGATACCGTCAATCAGATCTGTGCACACTTTGTCACCACTGACAACGGTAAAATAACTTTGATCCATGACACCGCCCGTCAGTTTCTTACTGCCAACCAAGCTGGCAAGATCGCCTTCATTCAACCTCGTCGGGCTCATCTCCAGATTGCGGAACGTTGTCTCGGGTATCTGTCCCAAGATTCTTGGCCTCGAACATTCCATGCAATATCAACAGCCGATGCTGATCCAAAACGAGGCATTCGGAGCAATCGCCTTCTCCTAGCTGAACAGGGGGCTCCTCTGCTGGGGTATGCTACATGCTATTGGGCTTATCATGTCTCCAAATCCCCAACGGCAAGCACAGAACTCACACGCGCACTAAAAGTATTCTTCTCTTCATACTGTCTCTCTTGGATTGAGGCTATCGCGTTATCCGCAAACCTACGCTACTTGACGAGATCAGCAAGATATCTGAAAGCTTATGCAAAGAGGAAGAAGCACGCTAGGATGCACAAGGACTCGTCTCCGGTATTGGATAGCCTGACCAAATTACCAGAGGATGATCCAAAGTGGCTGCAGTCGTGGGCCATCGATCTCATCCGACTTGTTGGTAAATTTGGTTCTATTCTCGTAGCGAAACCACCAGCGATCTACCAAGACATCATACCTTTCTGTCCAAAAGGCTCGATGTTCACTCTTACCTATGGAGAGCACAAAGCGGGACAGCTCACAGTCACTGGACTTCCTTCCGATGGCTGGGACGATCGCCTAGCTCGTGTTAGTGTGGGCGACGATTACATTGCTTCGCAGGTACTGGCTACAGAATCATACTTCGTCACGTTGATCAGCACTATCGGTAGAATCCTTGTTTGGCATACTGAAACATGTGAGAAAGCACGTCAGATCGAAGTAGGTGAATACGTGGCGGTGGTGAGACTCAACAATAGTGGGACGTTGTTGGCGACAGCGAGTTTCAGCCATTGCGCGGTATGGGAACTATCGTCTGGTCGGTTGACGTCGCGAATCGACAACTTAACGACGAAAAGAATCATCGCCATATCTTTCGCCAACAACGACGCTCATCTAGTCATTGGGTGTGACGACTGCTCTATCACTGTACACGATCTTTCGACATCAAGCATAGTGCAGCATCATGTTTTTGAATCGCCAAGTCAAGATTACAATGGTTGCCCCACAGCTATGGCAATCAACCCAGCCGCGACCGCTGTCGCCATAGCCTGGCGTGGCAAAGTGCCTCTGATATGGCACTTTCAAGCTACTGCGCTCCAACCAGCGCGGATACGCCGGCTCCGCTCGTCTATAACATCACTTCTAGGCCCAGAAGATCTTCATTGGCAAGTCGACGGCGATTCACTCTTCATCCTCTGTCAAAATGCCGACTTAGTAGAATGGCGACTATTTGATGATCAGCAACTTGCCTATCCTCACCTGAAAGCCCGCGAGATTGCTATTAATTCCGAAGGCAGTCTTTTGCTCACGTCAGATCATAGTGGGACGATCAGCGTGTGGGCCTTTCCGCGCCTGTCTCTGATATACCAGCTTGGCAGCGTCAACGACTTCGTAAGAGACGTGGCATTCAGCCCAGATGGTCAGCGGCTATATGATGTGAGAGACTCGGTATGTAACGTCTGGGAGCCAGACGTTCTCGTTCGCCCCGATGAGCACGACATGGAGGATGAGTCCAGCCTGGATGAACTGAGCTTGGTCTCTAGTGAGCCGACCATGTCTCAGATCGACAATACCAAAGCCTTCGTATCGGCGATTGCCAGTAGCGGATCTGATGCATATTACTGCTGCGGCAGAGACGATGGCTCGGTTATCATCCACGAAGTTGCAAATGGTACCCCCATCCGCAAAGTCTACACTCACTCATCGACCACATCCGTACTTTGTATGGAATGGTCACCATCCGGGCGATACATGGTATCCAGCGACGACTCTGCTCGCGTCATCGCAAAGCGATTAGAAACGAAGGCCAAGGACCAGTGGCGCGTCTACCCAGTGCTAGATGCGCGGGTGTCAGAGCCCGTACATCAATTTGTCTTTAGCCCGGATGAGCAATACCTGCTGATATCGACGTCCTCAACAGATCATCTGTACGATACACGGTCGAAGGAACGGTTGTGGTTCAAAGACTGGGGATCCAGACAGCGCCGCCGTTGGGTACAGGATCCTTTGGATATGACGTCACTCATCTGGCTTGAGCCTCAATCACTGACAAGCTATCAATGGTCCACAATGAGCATACAAGTCAGCGTTGCGATCGAATCCGAGCCGGAACTAGAACCGGAAGAGTGTTCAGAGCCGCAAAAGCATGATCACATCGAGAAGGTCGTGGTGTGGGCCGAAGCCATTCCTTCCAGTGGACAAATCCTGTACGGCACTCTTCCAGCGAGCCATTATCAGGGAGTCGTCTCGCAACTCTCTCATTCTGGTCTCCACGTGGAAGCGATAAGAATGTCTCGCACGATCGAATCACGAATCGCGTCCTTTAGACCAGAATGCACACCAGAACTCGCTCGACACGCAAAAAGACTAGTAGGCATCACAAAAGGAAGAGTCGCATACTTAGACCACGACAATCAGCTTTGTACTTGGGATCTAGACAGCGGTATAGATGGCATGCAAAAGCACTTTTTCTTGCCGCGAGATTGGCTCGATACGAGCTCGTTAGAGACAGCTCTGATCAACGAAGAAGGGACGTTCTTCTGTCCAAAGGGAGGTTACGTGGCTGTTGTTCGGAATGGGTTGTCTTTGTAAGAGTGCATCTCAACTATCAGATGAATATCATCGCGATGAAAGTGTTTCATGCATGAAGCCTGTGGGCGGAGAGCAGCCGCGGCCTGAATCCAAGCGACTTGATCCATTCGATCCACTTTACTGCACGTGACCAACACGTTTCCGAGATCGGAAGTGTCACTTCCGAAAGTGACGCACCTCGCGAACACATATCGCCTCGATGCTACACAGATCACATTCCTCCATCTAGACATACAATGTCAACCCCGACGCTACTAGAGGGGTTTCCCGGTGAAGCACCCTCTGCGCCTTCTACGAAACTCCGGTACGCAGACGTACGCGCCCACCCATTCCCGTGTTGACGCGACTTGGCTGAACCAACACGTCGATACATCCAGGTCGCCGTAACCGCAACTGCCAAAGAGTTCGCCGGCATCTACCGGGGCAAACAATACCATGAGCCAGACTTCGATGCCGTGCTCGACCGTGCACTGGCCGCCGGAGTAGAAAAGCTCATGCTGACAGGCATGTACGCATCCGACGCGTCTTTCAACCTCGACATAGCGCGGAAACGACCGGGGCAATGCACGGTCACAATCGGTATACATCCATACCATGCCGTCGAAGCTGATGAGGGCGGAGAAGAATACTACAAGAGCCTGTCTCACAGCATCACGACGACCATGAACGAAGAGCCCCACCTCCTAGCCGCTTTCGGGGAGCTCGGCCTCGACTACGACAAGCTGGCGGAAGCCACAAAAGACGTTCAGATACGCGTGTTCAAGCGACAGCTCGATATAATTGTGAGCGCGGGATGGGAACTTCCCCTCTTTCTGCATTGTCGCGCTGCATTCGAAGATTTCGTTGCTATACTTGAACCCTACATGGACCGGCTGCCTTTACGATCCGGCCTAGTCCACTCTTTCGTCGGTACTACAGCACAGATGCAGACTTTGACCGGCATGGGCCTACATGTCAGTTTCAACAACTTTGCTTTCCGAGATCGCGATAGTTTGGATATGATCAGGCATGTGCCGTTGGATAAGCTGCAGATTGAAACGGATGCGCCGTGGGGTGATATCCAAGCGTCTAGTGAAGTAGCAAAAGCGTATTTGAAGAATGCGACAAAGTGGTCTTGGGGGAGCAAGAAGAAGGATAAGTTCAGTATGGGCGATATGGTGAAGGAGAGGAATGAGAGTTGCAATGTGGAGAAGGTGGCGTTGGTTGTTGCGGGGATTAAGGGTGTTGGTGTTGAGGAGGTTGCGGAGAGGGCGTGGAGGAATAGTGTGGGAATGTTCTTTTCGCGTTGGGGCGGTAGATGATGTTGCTACGTCAAGATGGAAATAGGGCATCATGTTTAGCCTTGGGGAGAACTTCTTAGCAACTACGCGATGGAAATAGCCTAAAAGAGCAGAACCTTCAAATTCTCGCATGTGCTATGCTACCTCTACTTCGTCCCATTTGTACCATTCCCATTCGTCGCCGACCCATTCGTCAGTCCTCCATTCGTCTTAATCCCATTCGACTTCGTCCCATTGACAGCATTCTTCTTCGCCCTCGGTACCTCAACAAGCACCTTATACGTCTTCCCAGCCGTAACATTCTTGACAACGCATCCCTCGACCTCCTCCCCATCAACCACAACCCTGACATCCTCAACATCCCCCCTCTTAATCTGAACATCAAACACCGCACCCCTAAACTCCCTCCTCACTTTCATCTCCTCCCAATCACTCGGCATCTTCGGCGCGATCTTCAGCCCCTCCCTTACACCCCTCAACCCACACAGTCCCTCGATAAAACACCTATACACCCAACTCACAGTTCCCGTATTGAACAGTTGACTCGAGCGACCAGCCGTGCGGTCAAGATGCTTAATCCCATACCCGCCACGGTAGTAATTAGGAATGAAAATGGGCAGTTGGCCCCGGCGAACCAGATCCTCTTCATCAGGACCAGGAATCATAGCACGCAGCGTAGCATACGCGCGGTCGACTTCATCGATGTCGTAAAGGGCCCAGGCGTAGAAGGCAGCGGCGTGGTTGTACACGGAGCCGTTCTCGCCTTGACCCGGATATTTCTGCGTTACGCGACCGACGTCTTCGCGCATGGCGGTGAAGGGCGGGCCGAACATGACGACGCCGTAGGGCGTTGTGAGTTGCTCATCAACCTGAGGGAGGATTTTGGAGATTTGCTCTGAGGAGGCTGCGCCGCCGAGGATGGACCAGGCTTGCGGGTTCAGCCAGATGCGACCTTCTTTGTCGTCTTTGATGCCGAACGTTACGTTGTCGTCTGTGATACCGCGGGCAAACCAGTCGCCGTCCCAGAGGTGCTCGTTAGCTGATTCGTTGACTTGTTCGGCGCCGGTGCGGTATTTCTTCGCGACGTCAGGTTTGTCGGCGTCTTCGCAGATTTGCGCCCACAGATTCACGGCGTAGGCGGTTGCGACGGTGAGCCAGCCTGATACACCGACGCCTTTGGGACCGACCATGTTCATCGGGTCGCACCAGTCGCCCTGCGCGATGTAGGAGAGGCCGCGGTCGTCTCGCGCGTTTGAGGAGAGCAGCCAGTCCATGGCGCGGCTGAAGCGCTCGAAGACTGTGAATGTGTCGCCGTACATGCTAGTCACCTTCTCGTCTAGAAGCGCGTAGTCGCCGGTTTCGCTGAGGTAGATCTCCAGGGCGATGGGGAGCCAGACGCAGTGGTCGGTGTGAGGGATTTGGTTGATGTACTTGAGCACCGCTCCCTTGGCTAGAAGGATACCATCCGGCATGGAGCCGTTCTTCTCCTGCTGACCGACCGCTGTCGTGATGGCTTTGCGCGCTACTTCTGGCTTGATGAAGCTCATGCCCATATTGTCTTGGAGGTAGTTTCGCGTTTGCGGATCGGTCGTAAGTCTGTTTACGTCGCCGTGGTAGTACAGTTGTCGGGGAAGCCAGTTGTTGACCAGGTTGTCGAGATCTTTGTCTGGCGTCTCGAGACGTACGCAACCGCTGCCACGCTGGATGTAGTCTTCGTAGTCTTTGGCGGCCTTCGCAAACGCCATTTTGTTGAGGTACTTCTTGCGCATGTCTAGAATCTCAGCTTCGTCGTACGCGGGACCGAAAAGAAATCTGTACTCTTTGCTCTCGTTCTCGCCTAGATCGGCCCAATATTGAACGACTGCGGTCGGGGTTTCGTAACGGGCGTCGCTATTCGAAAGCTGTGACTCCTTCAGTGCCGATGGCGCTTGCAGGCCTCCTTCGCCTTCGAAAGCTTCTTGCTTCGCTTCCCATGAGACTGGTGTGGTTTCGCAGAGGAAGTAGGTCTTGTCTTTCAGATACTTGGTCTTCGGGTAATCCTCCGCTTTTTGATACGGAGTCTTGCAGCTCCCAACCACGCCCCCGACGTTCGTATTCCACTCCGCCTCTTGGTTCATCCATGACATGTAGCCCAGTGGGAAGTAGGGGTAGATAGACAGATTGCGCTTGCGACCTGAGATGTTGGTCACCTTGATGCTCCAGAATTCAGCCACATCGTCGGTGGGTAGTAAGAAGGTCATCTCGACACGAATTCCCGATTTCTCCACGAGCCACTTGATGTCGCTTTTGCCTACATCGAAGGTGAAGCGATCCAACTTAGCCCTTACCGGCTCATACGGTGCCGAGAAGATCTCGCCGTTCTCCTCGTCCTTGATGTATACGAACCGGCCCGGGTGGTGAGCATAATAGTTCTGCTCCGGTTGCATAAAGGTCTTCGCTTCGAGGTTGGGCGCGTAGGCATACTTCGCGGGCTCGGGTTGCATGTATTGAGCGGTTGCAAAACCGCGACATGTGACCTGAATCATCATACGTTGGTTCCAAAGGAATGCACCCGCTTTGGGCATCTCCGTGGGGCTTGTGAGCTCATAGCGCTCGCCATTTTGGGTAGGTTGTATCATGGTGGGAATGTGAACAAGGATAGTACCTGTGATCTCCGCGGGAAACTTTTATACCACGACGGGATGGTTGGTTATACAGGGACGTGACGGCCGACATGGCTTAGGAGGCGTAGCTTACTGTGTTTAGTGACACTGCACAAGTCAATTGGAACGCGGGACCAATGCGGAATCAAAACGCGTGACCAGGCACAAAGTCTTAGCGTTTCTGCTGATTTAGTCTACAGCGGGAGTGTCAAACTCGATGCTCGTGGACAAGATTGCTAGCAAGGCAAACGAAGGTCGTCGATACTCCTATGAGAAGAAGCAGCAGGAGCGCAAGCTTAGGATGACCTTGAAAACGAAAGTCCGACCAGCGTGCAAATCGTAAAAAGGACGACGAGGGATTTTCGCAGGTCAGTCATCTGTTCCTCCATGGTTCATATAAGGTACACAGCACAATAAGCCGCACCGCGTGGGGCTAAGCGAATGGCGGTGTGGGGTTCAGCCTGAAAGGGTACAACGTAAGCGCGGAGACGGTTGCCCGGACCGCAACGCCTTTAGCCAGCCGTGAGGCAATACTGCGAGTCCCAACATGTCCAAAACTCAACGATCTTCGCATCGTCAATATGCGCACACGATCCGGATTGCGCAATCCGAGCAACCGATTAGTGTGGGACAGCGGCGAAGATAACGGAAAGTGTATGGTGGCGTATGCGCCGATGTGCCGAAAGCAGTGTGTCAGCTGCTCGCAAGATTGTGTGATCACGGGTGACAAGGAAGGGTATACCGTGCCGGCGCCGATATCCGTTGTATCCACAGCCACTGACATTAATTGTGACCAAGACTCGCTACCGGTTCCCCCATCCCGGGGATGCCCAGTGCTGCAGCCCTGCAGAAGGTGTTGGGTATCGTGAAGTGTCAATTTGTTCTTTGCTGTCATTGGTAGGTGTGAAATATTGGGTGATGCAGTCAGACTGGGGAAAAAAGCAAAGAGCGGGAAGGGTGGGGTGAATTACCACGACCAGCGATCAAATCACTATCCCAACACTGAACATGATACCAATCCTCCATGCCAGCCAGGACGATGTCAAAGCCGAGTCACCGTTTGCCAACTGGCGCAAATCTCTACTCGGCTTTCCACAACGCCGCACCATTTTCACCCTAATCCTCTTTAGCGGCTTCGTGCTGTAGAGCTGCTTTGCCCGATGTCTTCGTGATTTTGACATACTTTCCCGTCTCGGGGAATGCTTTCTTTGTGGCGACTGGAATCGGGTCTTTGTCCCACCACGATGGGAGAGCTGGGACGCTTGTCCGCCAGAATCGCGCAGTTCCATCGCCGTCGACACTAAGGTAAACATCTTGTTCTTCCTTGTCTAGAAACATGCCGCATAGACTGCCCGTAACATAGCCAGCCACCGTACCAGCAGGTCGCCAGAACAGCTCTTTCGCATTGCTTTCCGTGTCGTAGATCAGGTTCGACCCTTCGCTCGACTCGATACCCAGTAATCGACCTTCGTTCATCCATAGAACAGCGTCGATCTCAGCCATACTCAGTCGTTCTTCACCCTCGATCTTGAAATGCTGAATTACCTTGCCATTAGGACCATCCAAGGGGTTCCAGACATATGCTTCTTTACCAGCGCAAAGCGCAATCTCTGACCGCGTTGGATGCCAGTCAAAGTATCGGCACCAGTGAGAAAATGTTTCTGGCATCACTGCTACCTTTCGACCGTCTGAGACATCGTGAACCTGTACCACTGAGCCACTGTTAGTGCTCCAGACGATGAGCTTTGAGTCTGGCCTATAGGTTGGTAAGCAAAGTTAGCACATGTCTTACGTGTAGTATGCACAAGAGTAATGCTTACGAGAATGCGCCGGCCCAACTTTGACCACCGGATTTGTCTGTAGCCCAAATGAGAGCCCCAGTCGAGACGGAATACATGCGTAGCGAGCCATCCCAAGACACCGTAGCAACACACTCCATGTTCGGGCTTATAGCCGACCACATGATGGCATCCGTGTGTCCAGTAAGGCGGTGCATCTCATTGCCTGCTTCCACGTCATAGATAACGACGAGCGGCAGATCTTCTGCTGCGCGCATGCCGTGTTGGGTTGTTCGGGCGTTTGAATGGTACAGCATCAGTCTGCCGTCCTTGCTGAAGTATTTAGACCCGAAGCTGCCCAATTCCGCGTTATCAATGATGGTGTTGTGGCGCCTGCTATGGTCGGCGGCTACATGACTGAGCGCTTTCAAGAACTCTGTATGGAGCGAGGATGCATCGATGAACTCCCTGGTCCATTCGTGGTTTGCTGCAAGTTCGGGGGCGATTGCGTCGATAGCTTTCGTAGCCCAGATGGAGGGATCGATCGGCTCTTCTTTGTCCAGTGTGCGTCCGTTCTGGTCCAGGTCCCAAAGGATGAGCT